GTGGAGCGTGATCGGACCGTACCCGGGTTGGATTCGAACCCGCTCTTAGCGAAGAGGTGCCGGGGGGGCTCTAGGCTACTCTAAGCCACAGGGCTTAGAGCCTGGTTTCCAATAGCTGCAACACTGACTTTGCCCGCTACGCCACCTGGCCGGTGAACACGACTTGATTTTTATCTTATTTGAACTACAGTCGTACATTTAAGAAAAAAAATGTTTTGGGTTGTTTTCTTCAAAATGCAACCTTGTAATCATGGTTAATCGAGCGCTCAACGAATCTGAAGGGGTTTTAGCACATCCAAAAGCACGGACAAAAAATTGTCATTTTGAGTCAAAGATTGAAACGTTTTAAACATTATAAGATTCAACACATTCTCTTGTTTTAAAAAGTCAATCGCGCTCTTTAAAAGCCGTTTCATGCATTGTATTCGGGGCTGAGCGCTGCTGCATTCCACTCTTGTCTCACTACACCCATCACGTAAACCCTGTTTGCAAGAAATTTCTCATCTTTATGGGTCATGTGTAACACATACCTCAAGATCTGTGAAAGTCTCTGTTCTGCATTATTTAAATTAAAAAGTGGAAATCTCACCTCCCCCCTGTACAGGGAGGTTTATTCGTGCACCAGTAGTGCAAAGAACTTTGCTCAAGTAGCAATACATGCGAACTGATTGCTGTGGCCAAGGCAGGGCTGTTTTTTTACCTTAACACTGCTGCCACACAGCTTGTGGGTGCAGTGCTCAGTAAGTCCTCATTCTGTGGGGAGTCTGCATGATCACATCTGGCTGTGGGCGTTTTCTGATGTTAATACACTTTCCTTCCTCATTACAAAAAAAAGGGCTACTGGTGTTTCTGAAGCAGGGGGCAGCCCAGCTCTGGATTGGCACCGATACCAATATCAATAGTTTCAATATCAGAATTTTCCAGGCTCACTCAACTCTTACCTGGCATCAGTGATTTTCTAAAACAAGGAAGGATCTGAGACACTAGCACACCCAGACTATGATTTATTCGAAAATAAATTACAATGGGCTGCCTGTCAAAAAAAGAGCTAAAACAGATGAGAGTCTGATACATGAAGTGCACACTTTTAAATTACCAAATGATTGATAAACTGATTATTTTAGTCAACACTAATTGAAAACCTAATCAATGGAGTGCCATTGTTAAAATTCTCAACCAGACCTCTTAACCAAAGCCATCTGTGTAGTGTCTCTTTTCCATAAGGCATTGTGGAGATAATATTGAAATATGTATTTTTTTATGGCTATAACCCATGATTACCAGAACAACATGCAAGGGCAGACTTAAAAAGAAAGCCAACAGATTTCCAGGCGGAGGAGGTATTGTGTCACAGAAAATTACTTATTACAAATTTCCTCAAAGCTTGACTAAATTGGACTGACTTTACTGTGAGCTGCAATGATGCAGATTGCAATCACTCCCACTGATTGTGAAAGCCATAAAGTATCTGAGACTGTCTGGTTGCACCAGGACAATGAATAAATGACAGATGGTTTATAAAACTTGAGAGGCTACACAAGGAGCGAAGCCCTTTTCTGTTACAGGTCCACGGACGAGTTTTGGAGCAGAGATGTTACATAGTCATTATCAAGATGAACATGGGGGTCAAGAGCTTTCTAATGTGACAGTGGCCATGCTTTGCCAACCTCTCAGATGTGTTAATAAACAAACATGCTTTGTGCCAGGTTTCAGATGCTGTGTTTCCATTCCTCTTATAGAGCCTGGGTAACCATGTGCGTGTGTGTCTGATGTTCTGCCCTTGCCTGTGTAGAAAGTCATCAACAGATACTAGAAAGGAACAAGTAATAGGTTTATTCCATGCTGAAAAAAAGAAGAAAGAGAACACAACGTTTCGGCCGTGGAGCCTTCTTCAGGTGTGTGATCTGAATCGGAATGGGAAAATAAAAGTTTCAATTAATAAATCACTTCACCAACCGCTCAATTATAAGCACCCGGATCATGGAGTGCAGAGTCTGGAAAGCGCGCACGGCCAACTCCAAACTCCAATCCGCGTTTTGCCCGTTTCTGAAACGAATTGGCAGCCGCCAAACCAGGTGCGATTAATCACGCATCAGGCTTCAATTTGTTGCCTTCAACAATTTCTAGCAGTGGGATTGCATCTCTGCCTTTAAATACCGGGTTCACGGATCAGGGAGTTTCAGGGACAGCAACATGGGAGAGGAAGATTGCAAAGGCGAGGAGAGGTATTCGGATGCGAAGGCAGTCGTTAGCGAGGACACCTGAGCGCAGACCTGCCTGGAGTGTGAACGTCCGAAGAGACTCGGATGCGTTCGGCTTGAAATCCGACAGGTTCGAGACAAGAAGGTGCATTTTTTTTTTTACCTTGAAGCTTTAAACTGCGAGAACGCGGTTTTTAGGTATGCTAAATAAACCGTCCTGCACTTCCTGGTCGCTTGGCCTGGGTGCGAAATCTCGATAATTCGTTGAGCGTTAATTTAGCACGGGAAACAGTCTGGTAAACGGTATATGACGTGCACATGCACTTTTAAATCTCTGCTTGCGAGGAGGATTAGAAAGCGTGTTGCTCTTCTGCTTTCAAGCCTAAAGTAGGTATTTTTTCGTATTTTGTCAATGCTAATAAGTGCTTTTCTTCCCCCCCCAGACTCAACCTGAAGGGCGGCTAGCTGCTAACGCGACTCGGAACAAACTGGTTCTCCCTCTCAGGGCAGCCCGGACGCTCAGCCCGCCGGTTCTTGTAGCTGGACAGATAAGCGTCGGGTCCTCGCCACTCCCCTCCAACCTCCCCTCCCGGTATTGATTAGTCAGAGCTGGACGTGTACAAAAGTGGTCAATAAAAATCAAATGACAAACCACATGACGTGTTGTATTTTGCTGTGCAGCGAGTTTCTATCTGCATGTTGAAAGCACGTAAGTGTATTGGGAGGTGAAGGGTGCGAATCGGTGTTAAACGGCCACTTTCTGGTTTCCCCCTTTTTAAATCTGCAAGCCTTTCCAGGTATTGGTGGCTGAAGACTACTTTTCTCACCTTTTGTTAGTGTCTGGGATGTTTTACCCATTGACTAGATTCCACCTGAACCTTTCAGCTGCATTTATCCTTGGTGGGGGTTGGATAAGATGTACACGCATTTCTATGCAAGAGCAGGTCAGGATCCCTCAGCTCCATTCTCATGGGAAGAAAGCAACCTACCAAAAAGACTAGTGCCTCTTGCCTAAACAGCAGTCAGCTAAAATTACTGCCCAATCCTCAGTACGGGGTTCTCAACAGGCCAATCTGTTGTAGAAAGTTGGGGGTGGGGGTAGTCACAGAACCACAGCAGTACAAAACCTGTAAGCCTGTTACTGTATGGCTTTCCAGCACTGCATCTCATTCAATATCTAATTAGGCCATGAATGTATAGACTGTTGCATTCCATACCATTCTAAGAGTAAGATTTTAAGTTTTGTCTGGGGGGGGAAGATGGGCAATGAATTCCTTTTGTCCTTCTGAAAATGCAAGACGGCTTGATCTGGAGGTAATGGAATTTAATCTGTTGTCTTCTCTGATTACAGGTATATACAAAAACCATAAACCCAATAAGAGTGGAATTTATTCCAGAACCATTTCTCAAGAGCAACAGTCCTAAGCAAAACCATATTTTAGATAACCCCCTGCTTTTCACTAGAAACATGTGACTTCATGCAATATGGCAATCATTTCATGGGAAGTCAGTCACAAACTGATTCTTGCTGAAAGGAGAAAAGGGATGCAATGTTTTGACTGTGGAGCCTTCTTCAGGTTCTGGAAAACTGAGATTTAATGTTTTGTTTTTGAGGATTCCAAGGAAGCCCAAATTTTGTGAAGCATAACCTCTTTGGAGACCCAAAGAAGGCCCACAGACAATGTTGCTTTACTTTCAGCATAGAATTAACATCTACCTGTTCCTTTGCAGTTTACACATGCGGATGCAACTTCGTACTCAAATTGATTCATGCCATACAAGAGACACAGAGGCAGGCAAGCTTTGTGGATTGTTCATTAAAGGTTCATGTATTACTCTACATACAGAGCTCTTTTTTTTTTTTTAATAACAGCTATTTAACAGAATCAGTCATCTGATTTTATGTTCACTGCATGGTTTCAATTCCTGCTTCCTAACAATTGCATCTTGTTGGTATCAACAGTTATTCAGGATTTTGTTAGGAATGCTTTGTCGTTTAGTTACCTAAAATACAAATCCCTGCATCACCAATGCTCACTCACAAAGTGCTATTCAAGATTACCTCATCCTCAGGGCTGAAGGCCTGCGGCCGCTTCAGGAGGCAGCGTTGACTGTCCAGTTGGTCCTCGTGATCATCCCAGCGCAGGGGCTCAGACTAAAGCCCTGGGGGTAGCATCACTGAGAATTGAGAAATCACTTATTTTTCTATCAATTAAAGTCAACATCTATTTTTTTTTTTGCTGCACATTCTGGCTGCTTGCAAGCAATATGGCTGCCAACTATCATTTAAATCAATTTGATGACACAAAACATAAAACCAGACATTAATTCAGTCTGATCCAGAGCAGTCACTGGGTCTTTTTCAAGAGACTTTGTAAAACACTACAGCAGCCTGACTACAACGGTCCATGTAGGGTCTGAGTTCCTTTTAAAAGATGGCATTAGATAAATACTGTAATAAGAGACTAGGTGTTCATACTCTGTTTGATTTTAAAGCCAAAGAAACAGTCAAATACCGTTCTTCATGAATCATACACCATATTTCAAAATTAACTTCTTACTCCTTTAAAAGAACTCCTGTGTGAACACACTGGTGAGAGTTTTATAGTGGCTATCAAAAGTATTCATCCCCTCATTGGCCTTTTCTTCATTTTATTATTTCACAATATGGAATCATAACATATTTATTTGGGATTTTGGCAGTTTGGGAATATTGTCAAAAAATACATAAATACTTGTGGAAGTTACACAGTCACATTCTTGAAACTGACACAACCTTCTTTAAAAAAACAGTAGGTTAATTAATTACAAGCCATTAAACAGGCTCAATTGGGCAAATGGTCTGCTCTTCTCATAACCTTAATATAGTTCTTAGCAGAGACATTAATATAATTTCTTTATTATTGTACCAATGGCTCTGTTTTCAAACAGTTATTGAAAAGGTGTGAATTATGCAAGGAAGAAAAAAAAAACACTCTAAACCTTTAGCGGTGTTATGTAGTATTTTACTCAATGGTAAATTAAAACAAATTCTGCTAGAACAGATAAACATTTAACATATCTTCCAAAGAAACTAAAAAGACAATGTAAGAGGACATTGACGGCATGGTACTCCAGGCAGTGTGCTAACTGAATTCTGCTGTGCTGGGAGCAGTTCAGGTTCCAGTACTCGTTGGGATCAGTGTTTGATAATCTAATCTATCAAACCCTACTGCTGTGTCAGAGCCAGCAGGCAGTGTACATGTGTGAGGTGACTGGTGTGTTAAAGCTGTGACAGAACCCTGTGCTGTACAACACGGGGTGTGCCCTGGGAGGGCAGAGATGATCCTACCTGTATTCTGGTGCTTTGCTGTCCTCTTTTATCAGCAGGCAGTCCCGATAACATCCTCTGTCCAACAAGCTCAATGTGCTGGGTTTCATCACAGGGGAGGAGATCTTCAAGCCTGAAAACAAAGGCCAATGCACACACATTGGCACTGTAAAGAATCTTGCCATTAGAAAACAATCACACATAGGGATTTATTTATTTCACCTTACCTCAACTTTGCATGGATCTGTGGGCTAGGCCAGGCACAAAGTCAAGGCTTCTGGCGAGAGGGACCTCGGGACTACCTCTGGGACTCACCTCTCCAGTCCCACAGTGGGCAGGTACTGTAGGAAAGGTATTCTTAAACCCTGCAGACAGCTGGTTACAGAGCAGATTTCTCTCCTCTAGGTCAAGCCAGGGTACCAGTGAGTCGCCCGAAAGATTTGCCCCAGGCTGTGAGACCAGCGCAATGTGAAACTATTCCACATCTGCATTTGATGAAACCCCACCACCGAAGCTCCACACCATGAAACACACAACTTACAGAGACTTTAAGGTAAAAATGCCAAATTCACCTCTTCACTAGTATATATTTCAGCCAGACTAGCTGAAAACCCGACTACCTACTGTACATACTGTACAAATGTTAAGAATCATGATGAATTAAAAGAGCCTATTCTCGTTTTAACTTAGCCTTATTTGTCTGAGGATTTATTAAATTAGCAGACGGTAGTTCTGTTAGGTAACCTCAACACTTGCAGAAAATTGATATGTACAGCCTAACATTTAGATAAGAGGTTATGTTTTACAAAACCTTCACCAACAAACAGCACAGTCTGTGCAAGAATGAACTTTTTTCTTTCTTTGAGACAGAAGTCAAGAAAGGTTCAGCTGTAAATTTCCACCTTAATTACTACAAATTGAGGTACTCAATCATTAGTCTTTCAGGCCACTACTTACAGAATAGGTTTAAAGCTGGGTAGCAGTGCAGCTGTCTCTCAGCGCTGACTGTACCAGTTTGTGCTGCAGGTGCGTGGGTTAGAGTCAGTTTTAGAAAGGCAACAAATACAGGCATTTATACAAGGTTGCGAGAATGAAACCTTTGGCAGACTGCATGTGGATAGATGGAGGAACCTATAATAACACGCTGTATCATTTATGTGGAAGCCACATACTCTCCCCTCACTTCATTCTACAGAATGTGAGATCATCTTCAGTCTAATGGACTACTGGGCCCAAGCATGGGCTGTGGACAAGTCAGACTTACAGGCTAAGACTAGTGTCATGTAGGCAGTTAAATGTAAAAACTAAAATGAACCTGAAATGTTCATAGGGGTTCGTGTCACACATTACATTTCCAAAGCATCGTGGGGTTGATTTTAAAGCCCCGCATTGAATTATTGCGGTTAACAAAATCTCATTTGTTTTACCTAGATAAAATCAGGGCTAGCCAATAATTCAATTCCTGTTTTACACACTTGACAAACCTTCCATGCTATTTTTCATAAACCACAGTGTAGGTATACTGAATACACTCTTGATATGGAGTCCTTGCCCTGGTTTCCTATCAGGGTTCTATTTGACTTAAAAATCTCCATGCTCCCCTTTAAGGCTCAATGTGGCTTGGCACCTCAGTAACTATCTGACTTATTCGCCTATGCCCCACCTCGCAACCTTCATTTGTCAATGCCCAGTCTTCTATATGTCCCCCAAGCTCATTGACATTCTGTGGGTGACAGAGCCTTCTCTTGCTACGCCCCAAAGCTCTGGAATGCTTTTCCCAGAGTCACCGACATTGAGTGCATTAACATCCTTTCAAAGGCTTCTATTTAATTACTGTCTGTGTCTGCTCCGTTTTCTAATGACCATTTATCTTCTGCTGCACTTCTTATATGCTTATTCTGTAATTTGCTATTCTTATAACTGTTTTTTACCCCTACTGTGAGGCACTTTGAGATGCTAATTTTAAAGGAGCTATATAAATTTATTATTAATCATGTAAAAAAAGCTCTATAAAATGTATTATTAATCATGTAAAAAAAGTTCATTATTAATACATACTGTAATTATATACAATATAATGTTATATATTCCACAATGAAATGTATAATGTAACACTGTCATGTAAAATAATATAGTTATTATACATTATAATGTCACAGGCAGATGGCTAAGTTAATTGTGAATTATGAGTTGACTGAAAAATATAATCGGTCAGGCTTTTTGGAGACTTTGGAAGCTTTTTTAGACGTTTCATGTTTCTTGTTTTTTTTAAAAGAAAAACGTTTTCCAGAACCTAGTGCTACCAAAGGTATACCTTGGCTTCAACTTTAGCAATTGAACTAAC